AAAGACATAAAGCCAAACGATAGGATAGTTGGGAGATCACTGGGGTTTTTCCCTAGATTTGTGATATCCCCTACTTCTCTTTCATTTGAATTCCTAAAATAATTGTTCCTATTTTGAGTCATTCCCATTTGATTTTCCCATGTCCAATCGTGAAAACCTAAACTTTGAAATCTTGAAAGCAAAACCACCTGATCTTAATCGAGAGTTATCTTAAGTGATTTCGATCATTTAAGATGTAATTAACTATAGTGGCTTGCCTCTATAGGGAACTAAGAACCCAGATAAAATAAACCCTATCTAATTTTTATGTTAGATAGGGGAACTTGTTGGCCTTTTTATAAAAATATTTCGCAGACCAAACGGATGTCACAAATTGTTTAGTCTAGATGATTAAATCCCTATTACAAAGTAATATATTTATTCTTCGGGATAAGTGTATTGCTTGTAGTATTGTGTTAAATCATCTAAGCTATTTAAAATGTGAGACTCGTTTGGTCTCACTTATTTTAAAAATTAAAAACGTTACTTCTTTAAAAAGGTTATATTTATATTTAAATTATTTTCAAAATCCCAAAATCATCACCGTTTCCAAACTACGAAAGTGAAGTTGAACAATAAAACGGCCGACACCAACTTGCAGAAACAAAAAATTAGAGAGGAAGTTGTTGACCATAACAAGAATAAAACAAAGCTTGCGTGGAATAGTAATAATGATTAAGATACTGATATTTTGATTCATAGATTGTCAGGGCTCCACCAAAAATATCCTAGCCTCTTTCTTACTATTTCTATCCTTTTCTTATGGGCTTATGTCTTAACATTGGAAGGATGGCATCTGATCTACATAATACTAGAGGATTTCATGATTTGATTCTAATCTTTACACACTCCACCTTTTTAATGGATCCCTTTGGTATTTTGCATACTTATATTTATGCGGGTTTGTATTTTATACCATTTTCATCAACACCTATATACATTTTGCTAATATCATTTGTTACTGGATGTATAACTATTTGTATCATTTTTTTTAGCTCAAGACGCGAAGTGAACTTGGTCTCTGGGCTTTAAATCCTAACGATATATTTTTAAACCATTGTGATTTGACTGCAACTAATTGTTGAATCAATAGTGGTTGTCATTTGTTTAACACTTTATGCAAAATGAACATAATGATGATGAATTTAGTATACTTGCGAGTTTTGGATGAGCTAGATGGATGTTTCGTTCTGTTTGATGCTTTATTCTTTTTGAACTTGTGAAGGATAGGTTTGTCCTACCTATCTCAAAGGATTCAGTTATGGGTATGTTCGATGTGTGCAAATAACTTGACCATTTTTCCGATCTGATACCTTTTTGCCCATGCTTCATACTTTGGTGGAGTTATTAGAAGAAGTGTGCCAATAACATAGCCATCAGGGATTCTTATCAAACTGATGACAAAGGTTGTCCGTTTGGTGTTTCATGCTTGTGTGGATTTGTCTGATAGTAAAATCCCTAGTGTGCTTGAGGCTTCAAGTGAAATGTAGGATTACTCTTTCATTTCTTGCTTCTTGCTTGGTGAACCTACTGTAGGAGGAGCATTTATTTAACTCTTTTTTATGCTTATGAATTTTCTAAACAAAAAATACTGACAATCTAGCTTGGTTAAATATTTGGTGGCAATACCGACTATGACTAGAGCTTATTGTATTAGGATTAGTTTTTTAATCCTAAGGATTGTAGAATTGCTGAAAAGATGTCTTCAGTTTGGACTGCTGGAGTTTTTAAAAATAGAAATGTTAGGTACTTTACACCCATATCAAAAGAGTTGTTGAGAAGTTGAATGTCATAACATGGTGATATTTTGGCTTGTTTGGTACAAAAAGGTTCTCAATGATGGAAGTAGTTTTAGTTTGCTAACTCTTAACTTTATTCTTGCTTCAGTCCTTATTCATTGGATCTTAGGGGACAAACTTGAAGTTCATATTGCTTGAATTTTAAAGCTTTGGTGTGCTAGAGTTGATAGTTCTTTTTAGATATGGTTGCATCACTTTGGGATATGCTTTGAGGGGATATACGCCATTAAGATTTCCTTGAACTCTTAATGTCGATTTGGCTTTCTTTGGGCCCTATTAGGCTATCATAGCTAATCCTTCATTGCGTTGGGTTCATTGAGACATATAATATGTGATTTAGATAAAATACGGTAGGATGAATTTTGTTAAAAAGGTTTATATTGTGATGAATGTCAAGTCTTATGGAGTTAGTTGTCCTTTTTTGGCGTGTGGATCTATACCATACTTAGGTGGATTGAGTATTGGTGTTTTTATAAATCATTTGACTTTCACCTCCTTAAAGGATAAAGCTCTGATGTCTTTTTCGGCTTCGATGTTATGAAAAGACATGTGGCTTTATTTGTGAAGGTGCTTGTACGTGTTGGATTGGATTTTGCAACCCTTGGAAAGTCTCTTCTAAAGGGCCCAAGGAATGTCAGGTGATTATGGCTAGACTATCTGAACCTGACTTTGTTGAAGTTTTGAGGGCACTTCAGTTTTTTCTTTTATTTGGGATGATTGTTGTTGGATATTATATATAAAATTATTGTTGGATATTTAGTTTCTTATCTTTTCCAGAGAGAGTTACTAATATTTATAAAGGAGAACAACTGTTGATTAGGTGCATAGGTCAATTGGACTTTTGAGTTGATGAGTTGGGCTTCATCTTTGTATACATTTTTTATGATGAAGTGGCATTCTCAATTTAGTTTTACTTTAGCGTTGCCTCTTAAGTGACTATTGATCTCTGAAGTATGAGAACTCACTTACCTTTTTGGGATGCTGTTGGACTAGCCATGCAATTGTAGGACTTGGCCATACCTGCAGGATAGTTTTTTAGATTTTCTTTGGGCATAAATATAAGCTTTGTCTGAGCCTAAGTAGAACTCCATTTCACTTACAGGATTTGGAATTTATGTAGACAGAGTTAAATTTCTATGATTCCATCCAATAAGACCACTAGATATATTTCTAGGCTTTTTTTTCTATTTGAACTGTTTTTCTTTGTAGAAGAAATATGACAACCTTTGAACCGTCTAATTAAATTGACCACTCAATTGATTACTAAGCGTAATGCGACAATCCACAAGAGGTAGTGGCATGCCTTGACTATTTTCATTGAATAAACGTACACTTGCTAGTGTTATGTCAAATCTCATTTGGAAGTTTCATATTATGCTTATTTTTTATTTGATGGCTACAAATTGTTACTTTTTAAGTTGTTTTGCAGCAGTTTTATGCATTACTATTATGAGATATCAGGTATAACTCGGATTTTTAATTAAAAGAATAATTTTTAAGTTATAGTTTGTTCCTGAGAAGTTTGAAACAGGGAATCCGAGTACACAATGCAAAGAGCTTTGGATTGATAAGTATGAACCCAGTTCTATCCCTCAGCTTGCTGTTAATAAGAAAAAGGTAATTTCTATCTCTTCATGCTCAGTGCAAAGTTTTTTTAATGTTTATTCACAAGGTAATAGTAAGTAATTTTTTTGATTGCTTGTCTTCCAATCAGGAAATTATTTGAAATTATTTACTATTTCATGAGGACTGCTTTGTAATTTTTGTCTTTAAGCATTGCTTATATTTCCTGACAAGCTTTTTATCATTTTGGTTCAACTCTCATGTTCCACCCGTATCTACTCGGTCATTGTTCTGAAATTATTTTATAGTGCGGGAAATACTTTGCTGCCCAAATTAGAGCCTAAAATAAGCCTTCAAGCTCGTTGGGTGGAAGATGCATTACACGCTTGTATCATGTCACTCAAGCATGTGTTATTTATTCAAGGATATGAAGCCTTATTTTGAATGTTGAGTTGGGCACAATAGCAATACCCTCGTAGTTGAGATAAACCATTTTATTCGACTTAATGTTTGTTTTATCATAAACTAAAGCATTTTGATTGGGTATTTTTTAATTTCAGGAATTCCATTCCTGCATTCTTCATGTTATTCCAATTTAGATACATTTTTAAATGTTTGCAAGTATATTAGCTTATTCAATGAAGTAATCACGGATCCTAAAACTCTGGCCCTTATGCTTCCTTCTTTGGGGCTTAATGCAGGTCCTATAAGTAGAATTCTGCTAATAATATATCTTTTCCTGATGTTTCGTTTCAGGTTGAAGAAGTAAAAAATTGGTTAGAGGACAGGCTGATCACATCCAAGGTGTGCTTTAAATGCCAATTTTTCTCTTTGGAGAGATGGAGTTTGAGTTCAAATCTTTCTTTCTTTTAAATTATCTTTTATCAAATCAATATATATTTACAATTTCAATCTTAGTCTAGTAGCTTTTTCCCGTCTCTAAAATTTTCATTTTTTGCAACCTTCCTGGTCACTGTTGCTACATCTGGCAATAGATTTTAGTGTGCAATGTAACTAACCAGTCCTAGATAAGTTGTGTTTGACATGTGTTAATGTTTAATGGCTATTCGTTTATTTTAAATTTATATTATCTTTAGTAGTTAGTATATATGCAAGATTAGGTAGAGATATATGTTCTTAGACATTGACTTTAATTTGGTTGAGTTCGAAAGATGCTCAAGTATTTCTTTTGACTGATTCATGCTGAATGACTTAAGTAATTTACTAAGCTAATCCTGAAATGTTGTAGTAAAAGGAGGTTAGGAAAATAAGAGATTTCAATCAAATTAATTTAATTGTGTGTGTTAATAGTATTGCGTTTTTACCAATTATTTGTAGTTGAATATGTTTGTATTTGAGTGTTAAAATTCTCATGGAATAGAGTTAAAGAGAGTGTAAGATGAGGTGCTATGTTGATGTCCATTAGCGTGTAAAACAGTGTGAGAAATATGAATTTTAAGATTGGATTCTTAGAGGAAAGCTGTGTGAATCTGGTGAGTAAATCTTGTTAAGACTAGTTAGTTATAAGGAAATTTAGGCTGCTGAGAAGCTTAATCATGGTCTTCATTTTTGCTACATAGTTTTTCCTATATATATATATATATAATATGTACTATATATAGCAAATGGACTTTTTAAGTAGTAAATCAATTCATTAAGCACGGAATGGACTAGATTAATTTATTTGGCTCAGAAAGGACTTGATTATTATTACTATTCATTCAAAGGAGTAGAAGTGTAGAACCATGCAGTAAAGGAGTTGAACTGTACTAGTTTCCAAGCCTTTTTTTATGTTTTTTTCTATTTATATTTGATTTTATCTTATTACATTCAATTAACTTCTTTTGGATAATGTTATGTTTGGATTTTTTATTTTAGTTGTGATTAGATTGTTCTGTGTTTTCTGTATATCTCTATTTCTATAAAATGGGATTGATGATTTTTATTCTCAATTAGATTACTTTGATCAGCGGAAATCATGCTATGATACCAACTGATTGATCTGATTTTGATCTTAATCGTGTGCTCTAATCACTCTAAGATATGTATGCAGAGTTTCCTTTTAGATTGTTGCAGCGACACTATCATTATGATTACATCAACGCCTTCATTACCTGTTTTGCCTACTTATTTTAAAAAACCTCTTCTCTGTGCTTGTCACCATCATGCTGCACGGCTGCATGTTTTGCTTTCTAGTGTTCCCCTACAATCCATAGTGACTCTGCCTTGGTGCAATCCATTATACTTTTACAACTAAACCTATTTATATACTCTTCTCAGAATCTTCCCCATACTTGTTTTAGTGGTTTGGTTTCTGCAGTTAATTTTGTCTTCATATTATCGCTTCCTTGTCGGCAACATAACATGTGTTTTTATTAGCGTTTTCTCAAAATTCAATGTTGTCATATCATTGTCAAAAACATATATTGGTATATTATAAACCTTTTCTTTATCTTTCTCATTTTCAACAACTTGAAGAATTTGACATTTGGATGCCAATTTTATCCTTTCTAACTTCCTTATTAATACACGCACAATAATAGATATGTTCCTATTCCCATGTTAGGATTTGTAGGCCATATATTTATAATTAGGAATACAATAATGTTTATTGTTCTTATTCAACATCGAAATGAAAAAATATCTTTTGTTTGTGCTTATGGTGTTCCTAATGCCTATCATCTTCATCAAATTTTAAAATTATTTTCCACAAAGAATGCTTTTTTTTTTCAATCCATGTAATCCACTACAAAAGTTACATATGTTCCTTTAATCCTAAAATTTTCAGAACTTTGTCTAGTTAAGTAATATGTGCATGAACGGTATGATTCCCTTTATAATGAGAATTTTTTTATTCATATTGGAAAAGTCATCCTATGCATTACATTGTACGAAAAGTAAACTAATCTATATATGTTCATTATAATTATATTTTTAGTCTTATTTATCTATCTTCGTAGAGTCATTGCTTAAAGCATTAGCTCATCAAAATATGGTTAACCACAATAGTCTCAATTTGACCAACCACCCTATCTTGTTATGCTGATAAACACCTTATTGAAGATGAAACTTTTAGGGACCGTCCTTGTGAGGAAGTTTACAGTGACTAGTTTCTCATGATGAACTAGACCTTGAGGATGATTATGAGTTACTAGTACTTAAGTTTTGCTAATATCTAAATTGATATCTTATTAAAGGATAATCTAGAACTCTTGTCAGAAAAAATGTTTTGTGGATGAATTGACAATTTCCACTCTATTTCACTTGCCACCACCTAATGAGACATGCATTTTTTCAGATCCTTACAACTTGTTTTAATCCCTCTAATCATAGATTGAGATTGTGCTTTTATTTTTGCAATCAATGGTCTATTATTGGTTGACTTTGCAAAAATCTCATAGGTGTATGAAATTGGACTGCCCAGCATCCAAGCATCCAAATCTTGACGTTTTCTTTGTTTTTTCTTATCTTGTTGCTCCTTGCATTGTACAGTCACTTTTTTTTTAGTGATTTAGTGGCGCCACAACCTTCTCCTTGGTCGACTATTATAAAATCTTCAAGATAAGAGACCTTTGCAAGCTTGAGAATAATTGATTCAGTACCAATCAACTAGTTTGGCCTAGAAAAGACTTTTTATTTATTAATCAAAACTAGTTTAATTCGGCTATAATTGATATGAATCAAACCATATTTCAATCATTTTCAGTTCATTTTATGTATCATTAAATTTATTTTTTTTTAATTTTTTTAGGAAGTTCAATTGTATTATTTTTGATAATATTATGTTTAAATTTAAGCTCATAAATGCATAGATTTATTCTTAAATTATCGATATTATGTTTGTAATCCTATTTCTATAAGGTCTTGTGGCTTCTATTTTGAATTTTAACTATTTTGATGAATAAAAATTATGCCTAGAGGCTCACTTTGTGTTCTCTCATTTGATCCATATTCATATTGTTCACGTGGATTGCTCTAAATTGTGCATGTTATAACCTTGCTCGAAAGCCTAGAATATTAAGACAGGAATGAAAAATTGAATTAAAATATTTCCTTAATTAACATTTATAAAATATACGAACATAAGTCTCCGAATTATAAAAGGGCTAACCAGATAAAAAATTCTGATTCATAAATTCATATGAGTTGCACCTTTTTTTCATTTTATTGAAAAAAATACACCAATACAAAATCATGTTATAGTACCTATAGCGAACAAGTCCTCGTTGACAAAACAAATTATCTCCTTTCAATTATTTAATTTAAAGTAATTTTTTTTGAAAAACATTCAACAACAATTGTGTGAGTTAAATAACTTAGTTGCTAAATTTATTTTCAATTTATTTTAATTCAAGACTTACAATCAATGTGCGTGTCATGCGTTGTACTTATACACTAAAAATAAGCATTTGTATGATGTTATCATTTCGTTATCTCTCTTTATCATTACAATCAATCTAAAAATTGTCATTATAAAATTAAGCATTAACTTATATGGTTATTATTATTATTATTGTATAAGAAAATTACTTACAATAACATTATCATTATTCATTCAGAATTTAACTTTACATTTTTCTTTTATTATTAACTTAATATATTTTTTTTAGTTATTTTTTTTGAATCATCAAATTTTCCAAATGGAATGTTTAGAAAGCAACATAATAAAACTTTTGTAACAAACATTTCTAAATTTAAATTTAAAGTTATGCTAGTTTGTATTCATATCTCAATGTTTCTGTTTTTTTTCTCTTACCCTTTCAAAATATCCCCTATATCCTCTGATTTTATCATGCCCATAATAACCCTGAAAATTTCTTGCAGTATAGGAACAGATCAAAATCTAAGGTTAGGAGATTGCAGAAGAAATGTAGAAATTAGACCATATTTTTCAAGTGAGGAATGGGGAGGAAAGAGAAACCTCAATTTCTGATGTTAAAATGTTTCCTAGCTCGAACAAGGCTTGGTTCCTTGGTGTCAAGTCCAATGTTGGTCAAGCATGCTCGGTTCATCAAGATGATGCTTGGCTTGAGCCATGCGACGTTGTCTGTGCAGCCTGCTTGTGTCTATGGTCTCTTTTGTTGTTAGCGCTGCTAGCTCGCCTGACCTTCTCCCTTGCTAGGTCACCTGCTTTTTTAGAGCAAGGGAGAAGGTGCCCCCTTTCTTTGCTTTCTTTGTCTTCGTCTCACTTGGCCAAACCCCTCTCATAATAGCTACATTAAGGAACTATCGGTGCTGTTTAGTACTTTTTTAATTTAGTTTTGTTTAACAGGTATCATATATAATTTTTCTTCTTTTAGAATTTCATTTTCTTAAAATATATTATTAAAATAAATTATATGATTATATTATGATATATATTTACAGATATTAAATATAATTTTAACATTAAATTTATTATTATTATTATTAATTAATTAGTTAATTAATCATTGGTTTTTTTTCTTCTTTCTCAATAACTTTTTCTCTCATAAAACAACTCTTAGAAGATGATTAGATGTATTCCTGTTATGGGTTTTAAACTTAGATGAGCTTAGAAATCTTATGGATGATACTTTGGTTACTTCGGGAAATGATACGCACCTTACCAATTTGTTAGCTGGATCCCTTCCGAGAACTAGAGGTAGGGGCGGGACTAAGGGCCCGTTTGGGGCAGCTTATTTTGCTGCGGTGGCGTTTTGAAAACGCCGCCGCAGCGTTTGTTTCGGCGTTTAGGGCTGCGTTTTCAAATCGCCCATAATCGCGGATGCGATATTATTCGTTCCATCGAACGCGGGGGAGGGGTTCCGTTCGGCGTTGGCTAG